AGATGGTTTCACTCATAGCAGGAGTATAATGGACCAGACGAGAAAATAACAAAAATAATGAACAACCATATACCAGAGACATTTGCAGGAATGGAGTGGGGAATGGGATCAAAAACGGTGGGGTGGGGAGGGAAATGCACGGGATTATGGTGATGACACACGGGTGACTTGGTGATGGGAAACCCACAGGGATTACAATTGAGATGGAAAAAAAAATAATGTACAAAATGATGTAAAAATAAACTTTTGTAAATAAAAATAAGAAAGCAAAAAAAAAGTAGGTGCTTTATCATAGAATATGTTTGAATGACAAATAATCACATGAAAAAATGCCCAAAGACATTTGTCCTTAGAGAAATGTAAATTAAAACTACAACAAGATAACCACTATCTATAAAATGAGCAAAATAAGAAACAAAACAAAACAAAAATCCTGGCAATTGCCTGTAAAGACTTGGAGCAATATTGCTGATGGAAATACAAAATGGGAACAGCCACCTGAAAAACAATTCATTAGTTATTCTAAGGTTAAACATGCACTTACCAAATGATCAAACAATCTTACTTCTAGATATTTATCTAGGGAAATGAGAATTTATGTTCTCTCTGTTATGTGAAAGTTTATAATGACATTATTCATATTTGCCAAACTGGAAACAACCAGTGTCCTTGATTAGATGAATGGCTGAACAAACTTGGCTCACCCATACAATGGGATATTAAAATAAAAATGAACAGCCTGCTGACATCTAGAACAACACAGGTGAATTTTTAAATGCATTCTACTAAGTGAAATGTGAACCTCAACGTCATACTGCAAAATGCACAGTCTAGAAAAGGCAAAACCATAGAGACAGAGAACTAATCAGTGGTGCCAGATCTTAGATAGGAGAAAGGATCTGACTTAGAAGGAACACATGAGCGGCGGAGTTAATGGAACTGTTCTCAATTGTGTTTGTGTGACCATATGAATCTATGCACATAATAAAAGTGAATTTTACTGATGAAAAGGAAATCATTATTTTCTGGTGGATTTACCTGGATAGAAAAACAAACAAACAGACAAACCTGCTTCTGTGTTATATGAGGTAAGAGGTGGAGCCATTAAAGAAGAATGTTCATTTTGTGCTCAACTTCAGGGAAGGAACAGGAGGGCATACAAAAGAAATAATCATTGTCTTTCTGTTTCTAAAAGCCAATTCCAGAACTAAGAGCAGACTTGGACCAAAGTCATTTTTCAAGAGTCGAGAGTACCCCTGTCAGCTGTCAAGGCAGACATGAGAGGTTGATAAGAGTGTAAAGACTACTGGACCTATGAGCAAAGGGGACCAGAAACTTGCTTCCTTGGCAGAGCTGCTGGGAAGCAGGAGGTGGAGGCTGTTTCTGTGTGGTGTGTAGAGAAAGGAGATAAGAAGAGACACCGGACAAGATGGCAGTCTATTGAATAGAATTTCCCATAAAGAGAAAGGTTATTCTTCCCGTTCCTCTGAAAAGGATCAGTTCAGGACAGGAATGGAGTGCATGGAAGGTTTAATCTTGGCTTTGTCCTGGGGTTTGAAACACGGGCACAAGGGCATTTTTAAGAGAGCCCTCATGGAGGGCTGGGGCTGTTCAGAGAAGTGCTCAGAAGGGACTATCAGGAAAGGGTGTTGGGCCTTATTATTTGGAGAGTAACTGTGTCTACAATGTGGCCAGAGTCCCCATGTGTAGATAAGTTCTCTGTCCCCTCCTCCTCCTGTTATGCCATGGATAGTAATTTGATGATACTTAATAGGACCATATATATTTTTTCAATATATATGCTTATTTGATGATGTGACAAATATGATTTATTCCATTCTGTATGAGAGACATCTCCAGCTAATATTTTTTATGAAACAAGATGAGGCCACAGCCAGATTATGCCCTCCAGCTGAAATAATATACTGCCAATAAATTAAGTAGATGGAGGGTTGAGCATCAATCTAGTGAGGTTTACCAAAACATGAAAATTAACTCTGGTGCACTAGGTAGTATCCCTTTATGACAATCGCTAAGATCAACTGTTAAAATTTTCTGTCCATGGACATGGAGGTGAAAGTAAAAAAGAATGGGGAAAACTTAAACTAAGGGGACATAGGAATAACTTCTAGCTAATTAACACATAGAGCCTTTGTGGACAATTTGTAGTATCTTATTTCATGTCAACTAAACTATGGTTACTTTCTCATCTTATGCTTTAGGATAACCCTGCACACATAACAAACTGGTCTAAATTCTCACAAAGAGGAGGGTTGGGGCCTCATGATTTAGGAAAAAAGCATCAGAGACACAAATGAAGGCTTATGAGGGAGTCTTTGAAGGGCAGGGAGTGAAGGGCACAAAAATGCATCATTGGCCGAGGGAACAACTTAGCCAAGGAATGACTTTAAAGCATATAAATTTCCCTTGAGAATTCTCAGAAATATATGGAGAGGAGAATGATAAAAGACTGTCCTTCCTGAGGATAAATAAATATTAAAGTGTGATCTCATGGACTGATGAAATTTGCGATCTTTAGGTATACAAGCTACTAATAGATTCTGTGCTGTCTTAAATGTCATAGATATATAATGTGTTTTCATGTCCAGGAGAATGTGTTCTACCATATTTTCCCTCTCCCTTTTGTTGCTAATAACTGCCTTTTTTCCTACCATTTCCTCAGAAACTTTCTTTTCACTACAAAAGAAAGATGGAAAGGGAAGGTATCATTATTGCCATTGCTTAGAGCACTTAAAGCCAAAAACATTGTGAAAATTTTTACTAAGACAAACTTCTAGTTGTAAACTGGTAAGAAAATTTGATCTTAGCCAAAAGACTGAGTGATGATAAAAACAAAAACAAACAAACAAAAAAACTTAGTTTTAACATGAAGGCATAGGTGCTTGGTGCAAAAAATGTGAAATGAAACACAGGGTGGAGTTTGATCAGGCACAAGACACTTGGTTGAGCACTGGAGCAAGAATTCGACTCCTTCCCCTCTCCCCCCCCCCCAGCTATTTTACTTCACTTTGAACTCATAGGATCTTATCTTTTGTACTTTTTCCTCTTTCCTTGGTTTTATTTTCTTCTCTGAGGCCTGGGAGGATAGGGTGGTGAACTTATTTTGCTAAATGCTTGACAATGCAAAATGGGGGGAAAAATCTATTTAGTGCTTGTTCTAGAAGCATTTTTTTTTAAGTAGGCAGACTTTTCTCCAGATTGCTTTTCTTGAATTTGTTCTTTTCTTCTCTTCTTAGATCATTTACCATTTTTACTCATGTAACAAAAATAGGTCTACTTAGGATCAACATCTACTATTAAGAAAAAGGTCTACTCTGAAAATTTTAATTAAAATCATTATATGAACCATCTCCAGCTTCTGAGGATTAAATAAAACCCAAGAATTTCTTTCCCCTTGTGATATGAAGATACAGGTATCAGGGAGTAGGAGGTGCTTATGGATGAAGGGTATTGTAAATGAAAAGCTAGCTCTAGCTTGGAAGACAAGGGTACAACTTGTCTTCATTTTGCTGCTAACTACCTCTTAGGTAAGTCTCTTCACCTTTCTGAACCTAGCTTCCCTTTCAATGTCAGTACTGATTGGGGGGATAAAAAGGTCCCATCTAGTTCTAAAGGCAGAGCCTCTATTTATGTCATTAAATAGATAAAAGGGAAAACTATAATTTGTTGACTTTATGACATCCAGGAATGAGGGGAAAAAACAAGACTTAACTCTTAAAAACAAAAAGAAGCTGAGCTACAGCAAGCCTTCTGAGAATAGTGAGGATGTTTAGCAAAAAGTGGAAAATCTTACAATACTGTAAAGTCACAGCATTTCTCTCCATAACAATGATTTTTCCTGTCCTGACTAAAATAGAGCCACTTGTATTGTCATCAGTGCATGTGTAAATATTACTGGCAACAAGGTTATTGTTCTTATAGGATAACTCCACAACTATGTTTTTTATTTTGAAATGACTATTTGGAGGAGATGACTGGTAGTTCCCAACACTTTCTAAGTTGCTATGGATACCTGTCATCCACATCCAGAGCCTGCAGGTTGCACTCAGGGACTCTTGCCAGTTCACTTATGATGTCACTGAAGCCTGCTGCTGCTGCGATGTGCATGCAAGTCTTTCCACTCTCATCATCATAGTTGATTATGGACGGACCTTGGTGATGGCTCAGAATGATGGAACACAGAATTCGATTTCCACTCTGGAAAACAGAACCGAAGAAAGCTCATTATGTACAACCCAGTGCTCTTTTTTATGCATGTTGAAAACACAAACTGAAAAAAAAAGAGTAATCAGGTACATTCTTGTAAGCCCTCCTACAGATTTCCACTTGTCTTATGTCATTGCAGGGATTTTTATCTACCAATTTGTCTTACATAATTAGTGAACTAAAGAGGACTGGAGTTAAATACAGGCATAATTGGCTGCCATTGGAGCTAGCATATGGGTTGGTCCCCTAGACAACAACTTGCTCACTAAGTCTGTTTTGTTTCCCCCTTTACTGTAGAGGTTGATTGTGGAGACAACAGTTAATTTTAATTTAAAAAAATGACTCTGATGAGACTTGACTCTTGTATAATGATGATAAAAATGATCCAGTCATGGGTCAATTGCTATATGTTGCATGAAATTTAATCATCAATAATCCTTTGTGAAAGGATGTAAATAGCTAATTAAGAAAAAAACCAACAAGTATGAGAAGGAAAGAATTTTAGGTATCATATAAGTTGAGTCTATCTTTCTGTAGACCTTTCCTGCAGTTTTGGTCTTACTTTTGAAGGGAGGATATACTAAGCTATTTTTAGTCACTGTCCTAGACCTAATAACCATCAACTTTTCTTTGAGTGTCCTAAGTCTCTCCAGCTTAAAATGAACAAGTAAGTAATACTATGTATATTGATGGCATTGAATATTTTTCATTGGACTAAAAAAATTTTTTACAAGCTTTTGCAAGATGGCAATAAATTTCAGTAGCCAATAAAAGAAATTGTAGTTTTGTATGATACCATAGAGTCTAACTTTTCAGTTTTTCCTGAGATATATAGAAGATTAAACAGCAATTCAAATAATTCATTAGCATTTAAATTTTCTCAACAAGAAGGAAATACTGTATCTTCATCAGAAAGACTCCACAGGGAGACCTTAGAACTGTGTCAGAGCTTCTGATAGAATGAAAGTTCCTAGGAGGTATGATGAACAGGTTCAGGAAATGGAACAGTCATGTTGTGATTCTGGAAGTCAGGAGCAGGCTATATGCCAGACTCAAGAACCCTGAGCAAGAAGAGAAAGTTGACTTTTTAAAAAGCTACAGTTCTCATAACAGTTTCAATGTTGTTCAACAGCCACCTCGTAATACATCTTCTCATATTAAATTTCTTCCTGGTATTCATCCCCTGGTATTCATCCCTGTTTAGTTACCCCCAGGGTAATGGTTTAGAAACTCTTGCATCTGTTTTCATGATGCTATGATGGAACAGCACTGTTGGGCTTTGCTTTTTCTCTTCCTTCTCTTCTTTTTCTGTTTGCACCTCCAGCTGTCCAGACATTTCATTGCTCATCTGGCTCTGGTTTCACATGCACAGTGACAATACTTCCACTATCAGGGGACAACAGCTGCCACCAATTTTGAAACCAATTTTAGGACAAAGGGCTGTGGGAACTCAAAGCTCTCAATTTTGAGCCCCAGGAAGTGTGCTGTATGGGTACCAGCTGCATAATTTGTGGTGTTCCCTATTTAAATGGTGAGGAACAGAGCATCATATCTTTCTTTCATGCTGTCTCTTTACTGTCATGGTGATTTTTATTTTCCATTTAGTGTCTCATTCCTTGGACTGGATTCTCACCACCAGTGTTCACAGGTGCACCTGGTGCTGAGCATTTACCCCATCCTGACCCTTCCAGAAGCTAAGCCTAGACCCCTGCTAGGGGTCTGAGCCTGCCCCAGGGAGGGAGGCAGAGCTGTGGGACTTGAGGCGACATTGTTCTATCACAGATTACATTGCAAAACACAATTTCAAAGGTAAATAATGAACATTTCCAGATAGTGAACAGAAGCCTTACACCCCAAACTCTGAGCTCCCTGCGTGGCTGCCCTGGTCAAGTATCAGTAAAGGTCCTATCTACAGTCTTTTCCCTTTCCCTTACCTTCCCTCTTTCATCCATTTCCTCCCTCCATTCTTCCTGTGCTTAGTTGTGACTTTTAAATAATTTGGATTGATTGGGTAAGTTGTATGGTATGGCTGTGATTGCAAATCAGCTACCCTGAATACATTTAAGCTTTCCAGGAAGATTCTTTCATATGGTGTTACTTACATACATTTTGTATGAGTCTCAAATACATTCAAATAATCAAAATCTTTCTCTCTCTCGGAAGGAAAACAAAAGTGAAGAAAGTGTCAGTAGCTCAGTGAATTGACATTGTTCATGATTTCCAGAAGAGTACAAGAATTCTTTTGCCATTTTGCCATCATGGCTTAAAGGGCAAAATGCCCAGTCACACTTCTCCCTCTCTGAAGAAAAGGGAGTATCAAGCATGATGGAAAAAATCAAAACCTTGCTCCTTGAATTCTACCTCCCTTCTCTCCCGATCTTCAGAATGTCATTTTGGAAGTGGGGCTACTTCCCAGGATCCCTGAGTCTGCCTCTTCTGGGATCCTGACCAACAGGCCTAGTTAGCTGGAAAGCTGGAGTATTACACAGCTTCACTGTGTGAAGACATTGCCACCCCTTACTTTCTCTGCCAAAATGTCTTTCTATTGAATTTTCCTGTCATTTTATCCTGACAACTACACAAAGTAGATACTTTATCACCCCATCGGATGGGAGAAAATGGAGGCACAGAGGCATTAAACTACTTGCCCAATGCCACAGTCAAGATATGGCAGTGCTAGGGTGGACAGTCTGTCTGCAGACACCACCACCATTGTGCCATTCTGCTGCCAATAAAAGCAACAGTCTAGGTATTTATTCTGAATGATCATACAAGGGAAACAAAAGTGAAAAATGCTGTTTAGCCCAGCAACATCAATAGCAATGATGTGGGCCTTGCCAACTGAGACCTTTAAACACATTTCTGAAGAGGGTTGTCATGGTGAAACCTCTCAAGAATTTTAGAGAGCCCAAGAGAGCACTACCTGTGAGCTGAGACCTGGCTCAGTGCTCTCCTAGGGATAACATGCTCTTCTTGGCAAGTGGGACTGAGTCAGCCAAAGACAGGGAGGCCAGGGAGAGTCACTGAGACCAAGAGAACAGGAGAGAAAATATGGGATTTTTGCCCAGTAGGATCTTGGGAAGAATGGAGTTACATTTGGTGGTAATGTGATTTATTAGAGGAAAAAAGAATATCACACAAATCTTATGAAACTCTATAGTTCTGCATTGGGTAATCAGATGACGATTATAGGTTGCTTTGTTTTTTTTTGCATTTGCTTTTGTTGATAAAGTTGTCTTTATGTCCTGAAAAATACTGGAAACTATTGAGTCCTACTCATTTTCCTTAACCCAGAAGGGCTGGGAGTTGTAAATACCTGACTCATAAGAAACAATGCCAAGAGAAAAGTTGAATTAGTGTATAATAATTTACTCTGGGAAGACTAACAAAAGGTAAACCCTAATATCCTGATTAAAGACCGACTTTATTTTAAGTGACATTTCAGTGTGAGATTTAGGACTAGTTGGTTGCTGACATATGTCTTCGGGAATTAGTTCTATGGTGGCTTCTTGGAGGGAACACCAATCTCCTTCTATAATTAGGGCCCTGTTACCATTACTTGTCCCTTGAGGGTGAATGTAAAGTGGAGCTAGTGTTTTAGGTCACATGGCCCTCTTAAAGGGCTGGGTAATTTTGTGATCTGAGAACTCTGACTCATCAGTGCTGCTGGAGCCAGATGCATTAGGCTAAAACAGAGCTGGAGGGGAGGGTCTACCAATCTATGCAGAGTGAACATTTGAGAGCTAGGGGTTTATGAGAGTCAGAGAGAAAAGTGTCCAGTATCCTGACTTAGATTCAGGACCATCTTTGTGGTTAGCCTTTTCTGAATCCAGGCTTTCAGTTTGGCCTGACTTCACAGGCCGCTGCATCCCAAAGCCTGGGGTAGACTTTCCTGGAGAGCAAAAAGCACATGGAAAAGGTGGAGGTGATGGTACACAGAAACCCTCATTTTCTGCTGTAATTGGTCCTTAGCAAACAGTAACTATCAATCAATATTTGCTGAACAATGAACATATAAGTAAATGAGTAAAAAAACAATCTTTATAAACTATGGACAAAACCAAATGGAATAGAATTTTACACATGCTTTCTCTTTCTTTTCCTCATTATCTCCCCTTATACACTATGTTTTCCCCTCTCTCTTTACTTATATTTACGTATACTACTCCTAGGTGCAACTGTTTCTTTTCTTTCAGCTCTAAGCCCTTCTTTTCTATAGTCAAGCTTGGGGAGCTGACATACCACAGGCCACTTTAATGCAGGTTAACCTTCAACACTCTATTTTCCTAAGCAGGTCAGTCTGTACTTACAGGTTAAAGTATTTCACAGACTTGGCTTTATTTCTGTTTACTTTAGGCTTGTCTGGCTTTGTAGCCTTTCTTTTATCAAGCACTGTGAGTCATGTGACCCTGGTGGCTGTGTGGGTGCAGGGTGTACTTGGGTAAATGACGACCTCCTCGTGCATGTGTCTCCACCTATGAATTCAAATTTGCATTAGGTGACATATGTGACTGCTTCCAGGTGTAACTTTTTTTTCCCTTATGAAATGGATCCACTGGTATATGATATTTATAATTACCTTTTGGCATTCTGAATATATTTAGAACTGAAGTATATTTATAGGATTTTCACACAATTCAACTGATTGACCACAGATGTTGGTCACCACAGAAAGGAGGAAGACTCCATGCTTCCCCAAGAGCTCCAAAGTTTGTGTGGGTGTATGTGTTTAATTCCCTTGACCACATACTAAGTGAACAAATATAAAACAGTTATTTTATATGAATGTAGTTCTTTTCTTTGTGTACTCCTTTGAAAAATGCTCTAGAAGAGGCATTCTAATTTAACATTTTTAAGTAAGTGGAGAAAGAAGTTAGTGGTGAAATTTGAGGGGCAGCAGACACTTATCTGTCTTATTGACCTGCCATCTTATTGATTCCACAATTACTATCATTGGGAAAAATATCTAGTTTGAAGTCATTGCACATCTG